ACTGATCCCTCAAACTACCGTCCTATATCACTAACTAGCTGCGTTTGCAAAACCATGGAGCGCATGGTCAACAATCGATTAATCTGGTACCTGAAGAACAATAACCTCCTCAGTGACCTCCAATGTGGTTTCCGAAAAAAACGAAGTACCATTGACCATCTGGTGCGTCTCGAATCATTCATCAAAAACTCCATTGTCAACAAACAACATGCAGTATCTATCTTTTTCGACTTAGAAAAAGCATATGATACAACATGGAAACATGGTATCCTAAAAGATTTACACGAGTTTGGATTGAGGGGTTTATTACCTCAATTCATATCTTGGTTTTTAAATAACAAACAATTTCAAGTTCGGGTGGGTTCCACACTGTCTGACTATTTCCACCAAGATCAGGGCGTCCCCCAAGGCAGCATCCTGTCTGTCACACTTTTTAGCATCAAAATTAACAGCCTCACTAACGTTCTGAACAGTTGCGTTGATGGGTCCCTTTTCGTGGATGACTTCAATATTTCATGTCGTGGTAAGAACATGCACGCAATAGAAAGGCAGCTACAACTCTGCCTTAACAAAATCCAAAAATGGGCCAATGAAAATGGTTCTAAGTTTTCAAAATCCAAAACAAATTGTATTCACTTTTGTCGTAAATACAAACCACACAAGGATCCAGACCTAACTTTAGATGGTACTCCCATCAAGGTAGTAGAAGAGGCCAAATTCCTTGGACTCATATTCGACCGCCACCTGACATTCTTACCACACATAAAATATTTAAAAACAAAGTGCTTGAAGGCTCTAGACTTGCTAAAAGTAGTTTCAAATACAGAGTGGGGAGGGGATCAGACCTCGCGCTCATCTGATACTGAACTAACTGAGGGAAGTTGATCTATATCATAAAATGTAACTGTGTAATGTCACTAACGAATTTACCTGCTTTTCAATTTAATGCTATGACATTCTCTGTTCTAAAATGACAACGTAATGAATGTATGTCTTTGAAACGAAACCACTTTGTACTACAATGTATATTAATGTAGACTTGTTCTCGTCACTATATGGCTGGAATAATGCCGATGTGACGTAAAGCCCAACTCAACTCAACTCACTTGTACAGATCATTAGTTCGCAGTAAACTAGATTATGGCTCCATTGTCTACGGCGGAACCTGCAAAAGCAATTTAGAAAAATTAGACTCTATCAACCACCAAGGGCTGAGGCTCTGCCTGGGAGCTTTAAGGACCTTTCCGGTAGACAGTCTATATGCAGAGGCCATTGAACCTTCCCTTGAACAACGCCGCATTAAACTCTCACTGCAGTATATCACTAAATTACGTTCAAATGAGCCCAATCCAGCATACAATTGTGTTTTCAACCCGCTCTATGAAAACTTATTTCCTAAACTGCCAAGCCTGGTTCCACCACTGGGAATCAGGATCAAACCACACATAACTGCAGCTAAAATTGATCTCGACATCATTGCACCATACCGACTTCTGTCCTCACCACCATGGCAAACGGTGAAACCACAGGTCGATCTTACCCTCACCAAACTCAAAAAGTCTGAAACAAATCCCTTGGTGTTCCAACAGGAATACAACCAGTTACGTTCTAAGTATAACACTCACAGATCCATTTTCACAGACGGAACCAAGGACGATGGCCAAGTTGCCAGCGCTACAGTCATTGGAGCCAAGACTGTCTCCTCTAGGATCCCCAACAACAGTTCCATTTACACTGCTGAAGCCAAAGCTATCTTCTCAGCTTTGACCTACATTCAACAGCAAAATCAGTCCAAAAACTTCATCGTTTTTACAGATTCATTATCCTGCCTTCAAGCACTTCTAAACGTGACTTCAAGTCACCCAATCATCCTGGACATATTAGAACTGTACAACGACCTTTCTACTGGCCAATATGACATCGTCCTCTGCTGGTTGCCGGGTCACGTCGGCATAGCAGGTAACACTAAGGCCGATGCTGCAGCAAAAGCAGCTCTCGAAAAGCCCCTGTCTCCACTGCTAATCCCGTACAGTGACTTCAAACCCACTATCAAAAGCTATACTCAAGACCTGATGCAAAACAGGTGGGGCACTCAAGTAGGAAGAAACAAACTCCATAAATTGAAGCCAACAATCGGTTATACCTACTTGGGTTGTCAGTCAAGACGCGATGAGGTAGTTTTACGACGATGTCGTATTGGCCACAGTCGATTTACACATGACTATCTGCTGAAAACGGATGGGGATGGACCCCCCATGTGTGTCTCTTGCGATGAGGTGTTCACCGTCAAGCATATTCTGCTTGAATGCGTGGACTTATCGCCTGCAAGGGACTCACATTATGATGCAACAAACCTAAAAGATCTGTTCTCACGCGTGAGCGCCCATCTGATACTGAACTACCTGAGGGAAGTTGATCTGTATCATAAATTGTAACTGTGAAATGTAACAACCATAAATTGTAACTATGAAATGTAACAAACCGCCTGCCTTTAAATTTCATGCTATGACTTTTTCTGCTTTTGAATGACAATGTAATCAATAAATGTCTTTGAAATAAAACTCATTCCGAGTATGTACTTACAATATTTACTAATGCAAACTTGTTCTCGTCACTATATGGCTGGAAAAATGCCGATGTGACGTAAAGCTCAACTCAACTCAACTCAACTCATATCCGAACAAAACACAACATCTGTTGCAATGGAATGTTCACCAATAGAAATATATCTGTAGCAGCATGTTTGTAAATAGTATATTGTTAGATTTTAATCATCATCATAGTAAACTTATATGAAGTAAATTCATAACCTAAACCTAAATATTTAATAACCTAAGCCTAGATATTTAAACTTTACTTTCCTTAATACTTGTGTTAACTTCAGCACTTGCACAAATCTAATAACTCATAGGTAAGCTGGGATAGTTCAGCCTGTTCATTGTATATAGGTTCATGGGTATTGTCACTCAGGCAGTCACATGCTTGGCCTGTGATTAGGGTTTTATTGTTCTCTGGGGTCACATGATTGTTTTAGTCATGTGGAGTGACGACTTCAAACTTTTGCTGGTCAGTCAGCATATTTCTCCTTTCTGCATAGTGAGCACATTCTTTGCACAAGATGATATAGGGTAAGTTCATTTATTAATGTATCTGGCATCTTAGGTTTGGTTATTATGTATTTTAAGCATTGTTATATATATATGTAGTATTTTAGCTAGTAGTGTATTATATTGTAAGGTAGGGTTAATTCAACTTACTTGTGTATTCAACAGAGGTATATGCCAAGTGTATTTCATTGGATATATATATGTACATTTTGTATGTGTAAACGGGTTAGAATTATTCTATGTATCATGTATGTATGTATATTATTTTGGGAATGTATAATGTATTCTGTACATGCTAATGAAAGTGTACCATATCTGTTATCCCATATTTATATAGTATATTTATTTGTGCAGGGCTTATCACTGTACATCAATCACGCATTCCAGCCTGCATCCCTGAGACGAGGTAATATATTTGTTCAATTGCATGTGCATGATCTTCATATAAAGCGTAATATGTTTTATCTTAAGGGATTTGTAAATTATACAGAAATGAACTGTAAATCTTAAAAGTAATATCGTTATCTTGTGTCTATGTATTGCCATGATATTTATGGTTGAATTGTGTATGTGTTAGGGCAGATCTGGGCGTCCATTTGTCCGAATAAATCCCTTTGAACCACTACAAGTACTCCCTTGTTTCTAGACATGACATGGGTACCGCTGTTACACATCCAGCGTTAATTACATCGTTTATCTCTTCCATCAGTGGCTAAAGACTTGCTTTCAGAGCACCATAATCCTCTTTACAGTTCACAATCGCTAATGTGCTTAGAGTTAACGAGGCTATTGTCTCTTCACTGCCCACCAGCTGAAACGACACAACAACAAAGTTTGTTACCCTGCTCACTTGGGTGCCGTCGCCTGTCAGCTGGACCGTGACGCGCTTCAGATCAGGATCGCCTTTTAGCTTCTGTGCCACTTTCTTCTGCAGCTCATGCTTGAAGCTTAGCATGGCCCCTGGCACAGTCCCTGGAACTCGCTTCACTTCTGTCGTTGATGTCATGTCATTCTTCATGTTAATGACTGAATGAGATCGTGGAAGTGTTGGAAACAGTTGGGCAATTTCGTGATAGGCTGATGAACTCACTCCAAACCTGTCCAGCACAACAACTAAGGAGCGAAGCCTTTGGTAGCTTGGAGTAGCTACTTTTGCTATATGAAATGTTGATGTCCGCAGCATTACCATTCGACAATGTTAGCCGTTTGGGTGTTAACCCATATTCTTTTAAAAAATTCAGTGTTTTCTCAGACTTATCTCGAATATGCATGAGTCGTCTAGACTGTCGCTGGGTGAGATCATCACTATCCACTGCGATGTTTACGGCGTCTTCAGCTAAAGAACACCATATTTCCTCACACTGAACTTCCACTTCCACTCTCTTTGAGTCAGATTGTGACACACGTTCATCATTATTCATTTCCGAGGATTTCACCAACTCCTTTTCAAACACGGCCATAGTGTATATGTCTTTCTCACATTTGATTTTCTGTTTCCCTCCTTTCATTTTCTTCAATTTGCGACACACGTTTCCACGTTGTGTAGCTAGCCTGTTTTCGATTCTATCATTCTGGTGAATCTTGATGTATGCAAGCTGAGAGTTGAGGATGTCAACCATTGTCAAATTGCCATACTCTTCTTTTGCTTTGTTTAAGTTTTTAAGGAAGAGATTTGTCATTTGCAAAGACATTGCGAATTTATCATCTTTCCTTAGGTATTTTCAGTTGATACATGGGCTTGGTTCCCCTTTCAGAGAAACAGTGTCCTTGAACTTACTCAGTTGTAAGTTACTCAGGTTGTCTGACATTGTGTATGTTTCAAGAGCTTCAAAGTAGTATGAAAATGACAAAGAAACAAACAACTCAACAAGGTGAATGTTCAAAACGTTGTACATATATCAGAATGATTATTGTTTAACTATGGATCATGTCCAAGGTGCAAGCTCGTGTGCGAGCCTGAAACACAACTGTCTCCACAGGGATGCTTATCTTGGCGACTCGGCCGTCATGCACGGTGTACTTGGTCCTTTGTCTCAGGCAGGGTTTGGCCCTGACCGGAAACTCAACACATGTGCCTTCGCCGTGTTTGTCAATGTTATACCACCAGTAGGGTGGGAGACACAGATGTTCTAGCTCTTCTCTACCAAGAAGAGTTTCTCTGTCAGTCCTTAATAAGGCCCTAAACACGTTTAAATGACAGGGGACTGAAAACTTTAGGCCCCGAGTCTTCAGTCTTGACTGAAACGACTGCCTAGCGTCACGGGAAAAGGTCTCTCGTTGACAATCTGAGATCTCGGGTTGGTCGTACGAGCGTCGGATGCTGGCTGGAATGTGCTGATCCGGTTCCCAGGTCGACTGCTCAATAGGATACCCCTGCCACTTGACAAGATATTCTGTACCCTAAACAGAGGAGGAAAAACATGTAATAACACAGGCTCCTTATACATTTACGACATGACGTTTTCAAATCGACGAGTGGATTCACTTTGTTCAACGTAAAAACAACACTACACGGTGCTAATTGATTCCAAATTATATCAGATAGAGCTGTAATTGTTATTCTATCTATTTGATAATTAACCACCTGACACACAATGAACTAAACGAACCTCAATCAACGATGTTAAGGCAAATACCGGAGTTAATCCTGCTTTTGTAAGGGAACCGTATTAACGTAATTAAGTATTAACTGTTTTGTTGCGGTAATGAAAACAGTTGCTACAATGACCGTATGTTCTGTCTTCATCTCCGCCCATTTCGATGTATTGTTCACTCACATTCTGACTATATCACACTTGACTGACAAAACACAAGGACAGAATTAACATGCTCTCACGTGTGGGAACATGCAAATGCAGTCAGCCGAATAAGACATTGATTTACCGAATTCATTTTGTTCTTGGTCTTAATTTTGTTGATGTGTTCTTCAGGTCATCATTGTCTGATGTAGACGAACTTAATTGTGGTGAACAAACAAGAGGAGTGGTGTTAAGGTAGCTTAAGAAAACCACATATGTTTTATTTAAACATTAAGAAAACAACACATGCTTTACTTAAACATTTTCTGTGTTTTCCTAGCATCAACTTTGATTCTGTTTACCAAGAACAATCTATCGGTATATGGTCTCTGCTTTAAATGAGATGTAATGTAATCCATTTGATTACTTGAAGGTTGTGATGATGCACGATGTCTCAGATGTGTTAATCCGGGTACAAGTTGACCATAAGTAATTGTAAAGGCACGTTACAGTAATTAAGTGATAACAATTGTATCGTATAAATCAAAGATATATCACAACACAAAAAATCAAAAATGTTATTGGAAAATGTAATGACTGACATGACTGAATCATTCCAAAGTGTTCTTTTTCCATTCTATCAACATTTCTAAACAAAATTGGCTGATGGTCTTATCAATTTACACAGTTAAACATGATACGTATACAAATGTAACATTTTGCAGCATGCTATCATGACATTGTGTATATCCTCGTAAGAAGCACAAGAACAAATTGGATACTTTTAAATAAATTTATAAAGTGTGTGTTAATTACGATCAATTTCATGAGGACAGAATACTACTTTGTAAACTCCGTTTGCCTTCATTCACCAATAACACTCATTTGTTGTTGTAACAATATCTTTAACCATTTTCATTTATGTATACAGAAAAGTTACTGTACCCGATACACTTTCCTTTGTCCCTTAGATTATTATTATTATTTGTTATCTCGATTACGCGAATACCAACCTTAAAGTATCATTGCATATGAGTATCGCAATCAAGGTTCCGTTATGAATATATGATTCGTACGCAAATGTTTGGATATCTCGGTGTAATAATATGGACTGACAATGGACTGATTAATTTAATACAGCCTTGATTCAATAAAAACAACAACGCCTTACTAACGAACTGTTGGTGTTAAGTTGGAAGATACTGCTTCTAATAATCTAATAATCACATAGAATGACTTCTTACCTCTTTGAGTCTACGACGAGTGATCAAACGTTCAACTTGAAACAGTCCAGGTAGAGCTGATCTTGATCGCAATCGGGGAGAAGATTGTATTGGTGATCCTTCGTGTATGCGCTTCCAATTTGTGTTCCCTCGTGTACGAAGATTCATCGTCTTATACAATCAGTTGTTAATGACAAAAATCACAAACACAGATGTCTTCTGAACGGTCCCTTCTGAGCAAGGGAAAGGTATATCCCACGCTGGGATGTGCTTCAGTTATATACATGTCGTAGTTGGCATTATATGTAACTTGACAGAGTTGATTCACGACAGAGAGTAGATGAGTGACATAGAGTAGAAAGAGGTGTCTTTATTCTTGAGAAGAATGTCTCGTCCTCTTTGTGCCTGTTGGCAGATTTCTACACATTGCTATCGCTGCTCAAGTAAATATTTCATTTGTTTACCCTAGGTATAGAGCGAGATTAGTTTTCTTTTATTCAAAAACAATTTTTGAAAAGCATTTGAGTTTCCAAAATCAGTTTATAGTATTGCTTCCAACTGAACCAAGCGAAGACGTGTGAATACCACAGATGAATCTGCGTGGATTCAAGTGGTGCGTTAACCTAAGGGATACAACTCTGTCATACCAGTAATTAGACAGTTTTGTCTTGGGTGACCCGAATTTTCAGGTACAAAGTACAGTATTAAATATCTTGCTGTGGGGTGTGTTCTTTTACATACAGGTGGACATGTGATATAACTGCAAGTTGTGAAGCTAGGAAATGATGTGTTTACTTTCGTACTTGCGACAGATTGTGTGAAAGTAGCCCACAATGCATGATTTCCGTGTATACATGCATTTAACTGCACATGCAAGGTCATGTATTTGTAACGCAAAGGAACAGGATTTTCAGGTATGTCAAAATTATGTAAAATATATCATTTAAAACAACAGATAAATGTGAATACGACATGAAGCAGGGTAAAATTGTATTATAATACAAAATAGGAGTTTTAGAGAGGTTTTCCGAACGTCCTTCTTTGTGATCATAGAGGACACGCTTCGCTGAACGCAACCCTATTGGAGGCTCAGTGGTCATGATTCTTGCACATAATATATATTTTTTTATATTTCATATTTCGCTATGTAAATGTCTTCTCTAAACTTAGAATTGTGTATGGAAGTTTATTTTAGACAGTGTAAAATTTATCATCCACGTAGTTAATCCTAGATGCACATGCACGTAGATGATGCTATATGTGATTATTACTCAGACGCTAATATTGTCCTGTGAAGATGCTACCCTAGTTGGAGACAAATTTATGCAAACATTTACATTTTAAATGAAGGTGACCACTAAATTTTACTGTGAATTCAATTAAATGTTTGGAAGCATATTGGTCGTTTCTGCTCATCTTGCCTTTTCCGTTTTTTTCAACATACCGAGATCAATTCAAACTTAAAAAAGAATCAGCATGAAAATAAAACTACATTGAGTTATACTACGTTAAACTACGTTTAGTTTTACGCCACACTCAGCAATATTCAAGCCATATTATGGCGGCGGTCTGTAAATAAACGAGTCTGGACCAGACAATCCAGTGATCGGCAGCATGAGCATCGATCTGCGCAATTGGGAACCGATGACATATGTCAACCAAGTCAACGAGCCTGACCACCCGATCCCGTTAGTCGCCTCTTACGACAAGCATAGATTACTGAAGATCAAATCTAACCCAGATATTCAGGGGTTACAGCTGTAAGGTGTATAACATTCATATGCAACTTCGACACCATTCTCTTCCCACAGAGGCACCCGTGAAGGGCCACCTCCTCGTGGTAGGTGCTGGGTAACGCTAAGCGCCCTTCGAACCCCGTTGTGGACCCGGGGGGATATTTGGTCCACCAACCCCTTTGCCGTGGGTTGCGCCCCTGTGTCGGTGGAGGACGGGAGGCTGGTGGTTGAGGGCACTGGGAGCCTGGAACCGTGTTCCTTTGCCCAATACACCACTTCGACCCTTACTTCACCTAGACGAGTGGTTGAACTGGCCCGGTTCAACCAATCGGCTGGTCACGTCATGCCCTCCGCATGGAAACATTCATTTTGAAATTGTGCCATTTCAACTCTATTGTGATTCATTAAAATGAATGTCATCAATAAAATGTTCTATTGAAATTTGCCTAGAGTCCTATGCCAGAAGGCGGTGGCTCATGGGCCAATCTGGAAATAGAGACCTCTGAATTCTGTGTTTCTCCGGAAAGGTGTCAAGGGCGAACCAGTCTGACATTTATTCTGTTAGATTCGACAGCTATTCAAGTATTTATTTGCTGGAGTATAACATCCCTGTAACCCTGGTGGAGCATGCTGGTTTCCGCTGTACCACCGTCCTTGTTGACACTCCATGGTGGGTGGGGAGCAGGGATGTTGAACACTTTTCCTACAATATGGCTCTTTCTCTTCCATCTGGTTCATCTAAACATAAGCGTCGATATGTAGAATCTACATCGTCGGATGAAGGATCTTCTGACACTGTTGAATCGTGGCCGAGGTTTATTGTTATCTCCTCTGTAGACGATACGCCGTTACAACTTAACCCTTTCGCAATCTCCAAGGGCATTCATGGTGTCTGTGGGGACGTGAAGGACGTTACACGGCTTCGAAATGGCTCACTCTTAGTGGAATGTACCCGTAAACAACAATCGGTCAATCTGTTGAAACTACAACAATTTGTGAATATACCCGTTGTTGTGTCAGTGCACAGAACGTTGAATTCCTGCAGAGGTATAGTCAGAGACAGGGCCCTGTGCCTTTCTGATATGAATGAGGATGACATCGTCAATGAACTAAAAAAACAGGGCGTAACCGCAGTTAAGCGTTTTTCGAAAAAGAATGATGATGGCACAATTGTCAAGTTGAATACATACTTGTTTACTTTCTCACTCTCCGTACTACCAAAAAGTATAAAAGCTGGGTACTTTAACATCGGAGTTAAGGTGTATGTTCCAACTCCGCTCCGATGTTTCAAATGCCAAAAGTTTGGTCATCGGGCCAGGTTCTGCCGTAACACCACTGTATGTTCCCGTTGTGGTGGTGCACATGAACTCTCTGAGTGCACTAATAGCATCAAGTGTGCTAACTGCAGCGGAGACCACTTGGCCTCATCACAATCATGCCCCTTCTATGAACGTGAGTCGACCATTCAAAGGATAAAACATACCAACAATATTTCTTATGCTGAAGCTAAAAAGCAGGTAACTGTTTCAACAAATTCAACAATTTCATATTCAACTGCAGTTTCTTCTCGTGTCAATACTTTCAGACCTCCCATGACATCAACGTCGTGTCAAACGTCAATATCCTGGGTTCATGAACAATCAACAATAGATGAGGCAAGTCAGACCTCTCAAATGGGCACCTCTAGTGTTTCGACATCGGCATCCCAGACGGAGACTGTCACATCGCTGCCTTCAGCAGATCCTGCGTCTGAACCAGAATGTGCCACAAATTCATCACAGCACAACAAATCATCAAAAAATGAGAAAAAGGAAAAGAAAAAATCGAGAGGAAGGACCAGGGCCCTCCAACATTTGGAGATGCCTTCCTCTCAGTCGTCCCCTGTACAGGTTCAATATCAATTTGAACCTTTGGAGATGGAGGTCAATCCCTCTTTCCCAGTCCCTGGGGGCAGACCTCACTCCAATCCACGTTCTCCCATTGATCCTCCATGATTGGCTCAAATAACATTGTTCAGTGGAATTGTAGAGGACTACGAAATAATTTTAATGATTTACAACTACTAATACAAGATTTCACACCATCGGCATTTTGTTTACAGGAAACTTATCTTAAAACCACAGATCAATTTGATATACGGCAATATACTTCATATAATTTTTTCTCTCCCCCGGGACTCCGAGCTACTGGAGGTTCTTCAATTTTAGTGCGACAGGGCGTTATACACAGCCCTCTTCCCCTAAATACAACACTTCAGGCTGTTGCAGTCAGGTTGAAGTTACACGTTGCCTTTACATTATGCTCCCTTTATGTGCCGCCATCTTCCACTCTTCACCAAACTGATCTTCAGGCTCTTTATGACCAGCTCCCCAAGCCATGTATCATTATGGGTGACTTGAACGGTCATAATCCTCTTTGGGGTAGTTCTGATACTAACAGAAATGGGACATTACTAGAAGATTTTATTTCAAACAACGATCTGTGTATATTTAATGATATTTCGAAAACATACCTACATCCTGGCACAGGCACATATTCTTCGCTTGATTTATCACTCACACACTCTGTTAAATGAGTTTGAATGGTCAGTCCATGAGGACCTGTGTGGTAGCGACCATTTTCCAACAATTCTTAAAACAATAACTCCTGCTGATGTTGCTCCATCATCAAGATGGAATTTCAACAAAGAAAACTGGCCTTTGTTTGAATTACTCTGTATTGACAAACTAAATCCTGCTCGTTTTCTTGATGCTCTTGATTCAGTGCAATTATTCTCTGATGAACTAAACAAAATAGCCGATGAGTGTATTCCGAGATCCTCTACAAATCCACATATACATAAACCATGGTTTAATAATGACTGCAAACAAGCTAGAAAGGCATGGAAAAAAGCTGAACACTATTTCCGTCGCCACCCAATGGTGCATAATTTAGATAAATTTAAAATTTTAAACGCTAAAGGACGTCGAACATTTAAGCAAAATAAGCGCCAGTCTTGGCAAAATTATGTTTCGAAAATAAATTCACGGACGCCGATGTCCAAGGTATGGAACATGACCCAGAGAATTAAAGGTAAGGGTACCAAATCAAGCATTAATCATCTCAAAACTGGGGACCAATTGTTAACAGATAAATCTGACATCGCAAATAAACTCGGTGAAACACTTGCAAAACATTCTTCCTCGTCAAACTATGTTCCCGAATTTCAAAAATTCCAAAAATTGCAGGAAATGAAACAAGTCAATTTTCATTCGGATAATGGGGAACACTATAATGAAATCTTTTCTATCCACGAGCTTCATACTGCTCTTGAACAAGCTCACAATAGTGCAACAGGAGCTGATAACATTCATTATCAACTCCTGAAACACTTACCGGAATCATGTTTAGAAACACTATTAAATATTGTTGATGACATTTGGACATCTCGTCAATTTCCTTCATCTTGGCGTGATGCCATTGTTGTACCCATACCTAAACCTGGACGTGATCATACAGATCCCTCAAATTATAGGCCCATTTCCTTGACTAGCTGTGTTTGCAAAACCATGGAACGCATGGTCAATAACA